GATTTATTTGTTACATGCGATCAGTGGTATGTGATTTTCTGACATGATTTCTGGATGTTTATTTTCAGAGAAAACAGACTTAAAACTGAGCTTGCTGAAAAACCTGTGACAAAATATTTACTTTTAGCAAATAAATAATAATGTCCAAGTATGTTCTTTGGGCTTCAGCCTTAGTGTATGAACTCAATCTAGATCTAAATTTAAGCCTTCTAACAGGACCAAAAGTTTGTATTTTAAAACCTCTCAAAAGTCTGGCATCAACAATTTCTGTGTCTTCAATGTGTTTTTCAGCTTTCAACTAAGCTCATGAAATGTACTTTGACAGCAGCTGCTCTTGGGATGACAAGTTTTTTGGTTGTAGTATTTCATCTGCCATTGAACTACTCTGATGGTCTGCAGTACTGTCAAAAACAGGGCTATTGCAACATTCAGCAGCATCTGTATTAAACCTCCCTGCTCTGGAGCACTCTGGTTTTACCAGTTTTAGCAGTTTTACAAGCTCCTTGTTAACAGCGTAAGAATGACTTGCAGCATGTCTCACCTTCTCTTTCTCACCTTCATTCCTCTACATGATTTTTAGCCTAGCAGTTATTACAGTAAGCCCCCATCTTCGCTGTATGAACTCAGCTTTATGAACTTAAGTCAGATATGAACTCTTCACTAAGCACTTCCCAAGAACAAAACATGCTTCACAGAATCCTAGATATGTTACATGAATAACTTTTCCCCTGGGATGTCTTCCTTTTCTGTTCTCTGAAAACTATCTTGGTTGATTTTGAGGAAGAGCAATCTGTCTGGGTTTTCAAAATCCTCACCAAAATGAGAACTCAAGCTTCAATGTTACAGGGGTGCACAAACTTCACTAACTGCAACAGCCAGCCAAGAGTAAAGGTGGTGTTGGCTAGCAACAGACACAGCACCCTTTAAAAAAAAATTCAGTTGTGGAGAGGCTGTAGGCTACATGCATGAGTGCAGTGAGTTGAAGGCCTTGGAGAGAACAAATTGGTTGGAGAGTGCAGTTAAGGGCATTGGTAGAAAGCTGGAATAGATTTGGGAAGATGGACTCAGAAGCAGAGCAATGGTGAGGGGGAGAGGAAGGATGAGAAAAAGGCTTTCCTTCCTTGCATCTGGGGTGGGTTGACAAAAACACACACTGAGGAACACTGAAGGTGAAGCTGTGGGGTGGGAATTTGGGCTGGGAAAATCAGGGGCGTCAGTACCAGGCTAGGCTTGGATACTGCATGTTTGAATAGCAGGGCTCAGAGGGACTGGCAGTACCCTGGGGCACAATGTCCCAAATGATCACTTGGCTGGCACCCAAGAAATACACACTCACCTGACTCCTCTTCCCCACAAAGCATAGCCAGGCACCCCATACACAGCTGTAAGATTATTATCCTTCCAGCAATGCCCTCCTTTTTGTTTGTGCAAACATGGTACCTCTACCTATACAGGATTAACTGTGGTAATGCCCAGCTCTCACAATTACACTAGTTTGCTCAAGTTTAGGCAGGAAATCCTAAACAGAAAAATATTTCATATGGCTTTAGCTAGTAGTGTGTATTTTCACCGGCGTTCATCTACAACCTTTGCACAAAAAGGCACTATGTTGTATTAAAAGTTTGCAAATCAATTCCAGAATAGGTCTGGTACAGCTGAATTAATTTTCTCAGCAAGAGTGTGCCATGCTGTGGTTTGCCAGGCAGATCCAGCCCATGGCCCATCCCTTGCAGACGACTTTACCAGAGGCCCTTCAAATGTGGCCCAAGATGCAATGTATGACCTGTGCAATGTTCTGGCAGTCTGTGTCCTGCTGCCCTTTCTCAACAGTGCTGCAGGGCCCTTTATGGCCATGTGGTGGGAAGCAAATTGATCACTATCTTCTTTATATTCAATCATGTAACAGATAGCATATGCTGCCAGGGAAACAGTTCAGGAGGGTTAGGTGAAATAGACCACCACTGCCTTGACTACTGATACATCCATGATATGTGCAAGAGATATCTTCTATGTTAGTCCCATAATGGAAGAGAGGTCCAGGTGCACAGGAACTTCCATATGAGGCCACATTACTTGCTGTGGCCAAACATTGTGGGTCACTTGTTGCAGAAAGATTAAGCAGTTAACCAACGTTCAACGAGCAGCTCCCTTGCATACAATTCATATATATTCTTGTAGACCATTACACAGCTACATTTTTCCTTATAGCTAAAGTAAAAGAAGTACTGTAATGAATCAAGCTTGGACTAAGTAGTTTGGAGTTACAGTTAGATCTCAGATGTTGACTAAACATAGAACTATAATTAAGCGCTATGAGGTTTCTTCATGAAATCCAGATAGCACTTACGTATCTCAAAGGACTGTTGCTCAGTTTACTTCCTGTGAATGATTAAGATTCATGAAGATAAGTCATATTACACAATGGAAGAAAACAAATTTGAAATACAGTCTTGATACACCACAATAAATGCATGCAAATTTTCTGTATTCATCAGTTCACGTAAATAATGAAGTTTTGGCATAAACTGAAAATTACGCACTTGACCAGGACTTACCACACACATACCCCTTAATATTTTCTACAATATATATAATACTGAATATGAAAAAATACCTAAGATTTTTTAAAAATCTTTCCTGCTGCTGTATCTTAAGTGGCAACTATACTGTTATGATATAAATTAAAAGCCTAATGCTGACTCTGCTTTAGGGTGTAAAACAAAGTAAGCAGCTTTCACAACAGGTTTACGAAGATGCTACAAATTAAAAAAGCATAATTATTTTCCTTGTATGCTAGGTCTAGAAATAGTTACTTTCTTTTCAACATGACAATGACAATGCTTACTTTTTAAATTCAAATTAACAATCATCATTAAATTATTATTTACCCCAAAGCAATTTTTCACTTGTTAAAAAAGTTTTGAAAATTAAAAAAGTAAGATAATTACCAATAAATTGGTAGGGCTAGGGGGTTGGAAAATACATGCTAGAAACATGCTTTATCTAAAGGATATATCTGAACAGGCCATATCTAAAGGAAGCTCTTTCACTGATCCCATACAGTGTAAGAATATAAGGATGGGTGGTCCAGAATGTGCTCTCCATTACTCTTTTGTTCTGAACTTTTATCTTAAGACAGGTAATTGAACTACAGAGAAAAATATAGAAACAAATAACGAATTCCATGAACCTCCTTCTGCTCCTAGCAGTGTCTCACACAATTGTGTTTCTTAGCTACTGCTTCTGGAGTGTTTCACAAATAAAATCTTCAGCATGAAGTTTTAAGAACACAGCTTAAATTTCGGATGCAACCATTAATAGCTTGCTGGAAGAATGAAGGGATACAAGTGACAGCTCTACATATCTGTCCCAACATAGTTCAGTAAAACAAACCTTGGTCAGTACAAGTGGGTGACTCATACCAGGTGTTACCTATTTTAGTAGTCTTTACTGTTCTGTGATAGAAGCAAGAGATTGTCTACATTTATTTCTCTAAAGATAAAAATGAGAGGACCTCATTTTAGCCATAGTACACAAAAGGAAGCTAGGATTTCATTAGTTTGCTCTTTGAATAAAACTTGATCATGGAGAAACTTGCAATAAAATATCTCATCAAGAAGTTAACACAGCCTAAGAGGACCAATTGCCAAAGACCCTAATCATCAAAGCCACCAGGTAAGTATTTTCTGTCTTGCTCATTTCAGAGAGACCCGAGATGCAGATGCACAAAAACAGATGCAGACTAACCATCTCACATTAGACTCGGCCACAATGCCATAATATAGCTACACTGATGGTAAGCCAGGCTTAGTGGGACTGCGCTCCCTATGCTCTGTTGATGGATCTATGCGCTACCCAAGCAGTAAGAATCAGTCAGCAGCTGGAGATGCTCCCAACTTTCTAGATTTTCACTACTGGAAGTGGAAGACACATGGCACACATGCACAGGCTTATCAGACACCACTCCACTGCCTAAATACTGCTTCAGCAATTAAGCTCAAAAGCAGAATAACTCAAACCTCCAGATTCTGGGAAGATGAAGAGTTAAGAAATGAAGCAGCATTAAACCGAGTCCCAGCCTACATTAAATAAGCTTAAAACAATGTGCAGCAACTATGCCTACAGTTAGATCCTAACAGATAGTCTGTAGACAGATTTTGGTTCTATATTAATGCTTTCACATAAACCTGTTTAATTGGAAAAAATGCTCAACATTGCAAGGACAGAGAAAAATTGGAGCAGCAGATACAGCTCCCACCACATGATGCCAGGTGAGATACCTTCCCTAATTATCACATTGTGTATTAAAATTAGTACTTAAAGCGTTTAATGTTTTTATGGGTAAACCTTTGAAAAAGTAACACTGTAGAGAAAAACAGAGCAGAAAACTACAAGAGCCCACATATCCTTTTAGTTTAAATTTAATTTGTCAGATAGAAGTTATCTATGTACAATCAGTGTGCATTGTAACAATTCTGTCAATAAAGTAATTCAAATCTAAAATATTAACTGGCTGCATAGCACATTTGACATTATTGCCCATGTTGAAGAGGGAACACAAATGGATTTACAATAAATTTTGGCTGATTTGGATTCTGAAGTGTTCAGATATTTAACACTCCTTCTTTAAAACCAATGCACCTGAAAAACTTTCCAGAGCACAGTTTAGCTGGATATTTCTTACCATTTCATTACAAACAATCACAACATTGACAGTTCAACGGGGGGGGGGGGGGGAACCAACACACAA